CTCTCTCTCTCTCTCTCTCTCTCTCTCTCTCTCTCTCTCTCTCTCTCTCTCTCTCTCTCTCTCTCTCTCTCTCTCTCTCTCTCTCGCTTGCGCCCCCCCCGCTCCGGGGAAAAAAGAAGAAAAAAGGGGAAAAAAAAAAAGAAAGAGTCGCAGCTGCTGTCAATCACATTCCTCCCTGCGCACCCGCTCCGCTTCGGCCCACCAATCAATCAATCAATCAATCAAAACAACAACAACAACAACAACAACGAAAAAGCCGGTTTCAAATCTCGTGCCCGCGCGACCGAGGTCCCCCCCCCCCCCCCCCGACTTCCCCCCCTCCCTCTCCCGACCTCTCCCCTCCTCTCGTTCGACCTTGTTCTCCCGGCGTCTTTCTTCCCCATTCCAACGTCGCCTCTTATTTCGGCGTTCGGCCTGCCTCGGAATCCCTCTGTTTGCTCCTCCCGATCCCGATCCTCTAACTTCCTCACTTCCCCCTTTCCCCATCCCCACATCCATCACTCGTCTCGATCTATCTCGCTCTCTCCGTCCCTCTCTATCCCGACATGTTTGGCCTCAGCGTGACGAGATGATATGCGAATTGGTCCGGTGTAGAACATGGTTGGCCTACGAAGGCTTCTGCGAGAAGAAGGCCGACATCCCTCCACTGGGGGAGAAGTGAAGTTAAGAAGGAAGGGTGAAATGGTTACGATAGATGACTTGAAGGTGAGTGTGCTAGCCAGACTGGAGAAGGTAGGGCGGGATGGAAAACTGGTACACGCAGAATTAGAAAATCTAGTCATGCGAAAGTTTCTACTTCTGGCAGTGAGAGGATGCTTCCCATGGATGAAAAAATGGTTAGGAGTCATGAATGAAGAAGCAGCGAGGAAAGTTGATACCAGAGAGGCAGGGGTCTATTTCATAGTTAGCCCATGGTGTAAGCATATTTATATTGGATGCACAGTTAGAAAAGTAATAACCAGATGGGCTGAACATGTTAGATGCACTACCTCGGGAAACTTTGGAAATGCCAGAAAACTACATGCATGGTTGAGACGTTTTGGTTGGGAAAAATACGTCATTCTACCAGTAGTCGTCGGTGTTGCAGATCCTCTTAAAGTAGAAACTATGCTGATCTCGAGGTTTTCTCCTGCACTGAATAGTATTGGTAGGAAGCAAGATGGATCGAAGAAGAAGAGGAGGAAAGGAAAGAGGAGAGAGGGAAGAGAAGAATCTACGCAAATCAAGACCCCGTAATCTGTTTTACCCAGCAGGGACGAGTATTTTCATCCTTCATAGAGGTTCTGAAGAAGATGAAGGAAACAGGTGATAGACGCCCGATGGTTTCCGCCGGAGGAAAGTTATGGAGTGAAAGTTGGCGCAAGGTAAGAATGAGGGTCGGGGAGTCGACATTAGAGATAGGAGGGAGAAAGAAGTATCTAAAGAACTGTCGGGCTCTACTTGAAGATGGGGGTGAGTTCGTAGTAAGGAAGATTGAGATTGCCTCATCAGCAATCGAACATCGGATGAACTTCCTAAGGGAGTTGCTCGTTCGACCGTACTGCATCAAGCAAGCGTACAAGATGAACTCGTCAAAACTGGTTGCGTTGTATCGATCGGCTTGTTTATTCACACGGGAAAAATCGAGGACAACACTGAAGATAAGAATTGCAAAGGTAATTAGAGAGAAGTATGGGATATACGTTCGAAAAAGACATGTCGTAAAGATTCCGTTTTCACCGGCTGTGAAAACAGCTAAGGTTAGGGAGCTAGCGGTATCGAGCATTGAGAAGATAATTTTGGATGTATCGTTGCGTCGTTATATATGTGGGAGGGTAAGGGTTGTTCTCAAGAGGAGAAAGACGGTGGGTGATATCATTCACGATTTTCGCAAGTGGGTTAAGCAAGATGAGGCAGGATGCACATGTGTGGAAGTGGATCTACCGAGGGTACAAGGGCACGTGAGAGTTCGAATGGATGACATCAGCTATGCTCCGAGATTTCTGCATAACTCACGCAATATCACCAGAGGTCCGGAGAGGATCCAGGACATCATTAAGGGAATCAAGGAAGCTGTTGAACCTTGGGCCAAGGGTAGGAGGGTGAACGTGAAAGAAGACGAGGTACAGGCGTGTTGGAAAAAGATTGGGGACAATCAGAAGGGCATGACGGAAGATCAAGTGAAGGCTTGGTGTGAACCGTTCGAAGACTTAGTCACTGTACCTGTGGATAGGAATCCCGGTGCCACTATTGTCTTATGTCCGGTTTTGTATTTCCACGCGCAGAATCTAACATTCCGTTGGAATTGTGGATATGTGTGTGAGAATAAGTGTGAATCTGATGTTCTGAATGAAGCAAGGAAAGACTACATATCTAGTGATCTGAAGCGGGTGGCCGAATGGGGAAAGCAGGGGAAGATCGGGGCAGCTTATGTGATACCAAAGACAAGGACCTGGAGCGATGGCGACCCATCGCCCCAGCGACCTCCGATCCCGCAAAACTGGCAAGTGCGAGATTGGGTAGAGCTGTGAGATATATGCTGATGTGTATGCAGAAGAACTGCCACTTTGATCTTCCTGCCACCGATGAACTCTGCCAGACTATGAGAAGACATCAGAAGAGTTTGGGAAGGAAGAACGACGCAGTGTTAGCACGTAGCTACGATGTGAAAGACATGTTCGCCAAACTTACCCATGAGAGTGTTATTGCAGCAGTAGAGTGGATTGTAAAACTGAACGAAGCGAGGGGGATACGGGTCGTTAGAGTAAGTTGGAGAGGCAAGGAATGCAGAATGTCCAAATCATTAGCTAGGGAAGTCGGGTTTGTCTCCATAGATTTTGTGCTGTTAAGAAAAATGTTGATGTATGATCTCCCCCATGCATATATCAAGAGCGGATCTCAGATTCTTCGCCAAGTATCTGGCATTCCCATGGGAAGGAACTCCAGCCCGGCCCTAGCATGCCTTGTTTGTGCCAGGGCGGAGGCAAGTTTCCTCGATTTCCTCGGAATGGATAGACACCTGGTACGAAAGATCTGACTGATAGATGATGTGGCAATACTTGTGGGTATTCGCTCGCAGAATGTTGCATCTTGGGAAAAAGCTACAGAAATATTAACAGCGTTTGAGTCTGCTTATGACCCGAATTTGAAACTGGTGCGGAAAGATAAAGAGGGGAACTCCTTCGAATTTCTCGGGGCTATGGTGTATGTCAGGATTTGTCCGATAGATATCACGATTGTTCACAAAACTCGGAATAAGAAGACACTGTGCCAACGGATTCACTCCATGCAGGACTACGATTCTTTCTCTGTCAAGAAGGTGAAGAGATCTGTACTAGCCGCAAGTATGCTGCGAATCAGTCGACTGGCATCTACGGAGGAGGATGCTCTGGCAGCAATTGGAGCAATCATGATGGAAACGAACCTTCGGGGCTACCCCCCGGAGGTCTCTCTCGGGTCTCTAGCTCGTTTTGCTAGAGTGGCCGGTGGTAAATGGGGGGCTTTGCTCCTCGATCTGTACCCCGGCCTAGAGATGTATCTGAGCTAGGTACCTTTCAGACACACCGTATGGTTTGTTCGCAATATTTTCCTTTTTCTTTTCTTCTCTTTTCTTTTCTTTCCTTTCTCGCAATTTACCGTAGTTTTGTAGCTTTTAGCATTACATCGGCCTGGTTTTAGTTTTTAGTTTTCTGTTTTATGGTTTTGTCTTCCCTTTTTGCCAATCACAAGTATGGGGGTGGGCCCAGGAGAGAATACAATCGAAAAAACCCGGCTGAACACGTACAGTACCGAGTTTTAGTTCTTGCTTTTCCTGGAAATATCGGTTCGAAAGCTCTAGACCCAGAAAGGTAGGATTCAGAGGCAGGCGGGAACATTCGACATAAGGGGTAAATCTGGTGATGGCGGGCGTTTAGACGCACCAGGAGAGGAAGATACGCGACGACTCTGCAATGGGTGGAAAGATTGGCTATGTCCGTTCGTTCTTCCAAGGGACAGCGGGGGGGTGGCCGGGGTTGAGGTCGAAGGTGGGATTACAGAGTAGAGGCGCAGAAAGAACGAAGTTCGCGGGTGAGAACCCGCGCGAACCGAACCTGGGATACACAACTTATGCAAAGTCTGAAGCAACATGGGGAGGAAGGATAGAGTTGAATGGACAGTATACGGGAGATCTGATGGAGAAAAAGAGGTTGGCAGTCACATACACAGAAGGATGATTGTATTGGGGTATGTAAGAATTCGGGAGAAAGGGAAGCGAAGGTGAGTGGGGAATGGAGAATGGAGATTGGTAATCAACCTAAGCGAGGTTTTTGAGAAGTCTCACGACTATTTAAGAAGGAGAGAGGGATGGCCTTAACCCTCTCTCACCAGGCATTGAGATGCGCTGGGTTTTTGGGAAACACTCCCTGATGAGCTGTGGCGTGCGCCCACGGCGAAACGCGTCGGAGTATCGCGTACTGGTTTTTAACGACATATCTGTTTTTTCCCTATGTGGCAGGGCTGGTATCTGATTATGCTTTTTGCGTGTGATCTTCCAGCTCTCAACGCAGTTTTGGCCGCTGTGTTTCTCCTCTGACCTCTGATCTCTCTCTCTCTCTCTCTCTCTCTCTCTCTCTCTCTCTCTCTCTCTCTCTCTCTCTCTCTCTCTCTCTCTCTCTCTCTCTCTCTCTCNCTCTCTCTCTCTCTCTCTCTCTCTCTCTCTCTCTCTCTCTCTCTCTCTCTCTCTCTCTCTCTCTCTCTCTCTCTCTCTCTCTCTCTCCGCCCCCCTCCCTCCACTGCCTTTTTTTTACGTTTTTTTATTTTTTTCGTTTTAAATAAATCTCAATCGATCGATCGATGATCGATCGATCAATCAATCAATCAATCAATCTGTATTTGGTGCAACTCGGTTTGAGTGTGTTAGGTTTGGGGCCTTGACGCAGCACTTGCCAAATGCGAACATCCTGATGAATCTGATCACTACAGTCGTCCGGATACATTCAGAAATGTTGATACATCCTGATGAATCTGATCGCTTAAAGCATAAGGCACTCACTAACCTGTTCAACTTGGATATTCTTCAGTGATCGCGCTAACGATTTCTCCTCCCACTCAAAAGTCGAAAAACAGTCGATGACGTAACCATTCTCTCAGTTGTCCAACTTTTGGCTTAGATTTAAATTTTCACACGCTTGAGGCTGGTACTCCCTTACCCCACAAGCGTTATAGGGAAGAAGAAGGGAACCGCACTTCCTTGGGCAGAGAAGCACACTTGATTGGGGCTTTTTACTACCTTCACCAGACAGCATATGTAGCGTGAAATCTCCACCTTGATTTCTCGCTGAAAACCCAGCGAAGATTATGCAGACTTCATTAACGTTTTGACGACTGATGATTTTCTGGACAGAGAAGATTGATTAGCATGGACCCTGTGCATGCAAGGATGACACATACCGATCCATAAATCGTCCTGGAAAAAGAAAAAAATGGAGAAAGTAGGCGGTCTGGAAGGAAGATGACATGTGATGTGTGTGTGTGACAAATTCCTTGGCCAATAGCTCAAGCCAGCTGGATTGCCAGCTGGATTGCCAGCCGGACTGCCAGCTGGCAAGGGAGCGATCATTGTCAGCATGGTGTCTCACTACTACTACGACTACTACTGCTACTACTACTACTGCTATTACTACTACTACTGCTACTACTACTGCTACTACTACTGCTACTACTACTGCTATTACCACTACTACTACTACTGCTACTACCACTACTACTACTACTACTACTACTACTACTACTACTACTACTACTACTACTACCACTACTGTTGCTACTACCATTGCTGCTGCTGCCGCCGCTGCCGCTGCTGCTGGTGCTGCTGATGCATGTTCTTCTACTACTAATACTTCTACTACTACACTAGCACAGCTGCAGCTACACTGCTATAACAACTACTACCACTACGATTACAACGAGAACTGCTACAACTACTACTAATGCTACTGCTACTGCTACTGATACTTTGACTATTGCTGCTAGCACTACTACCACTACAACATGAGAAACCACTACAACTGCTGCAGATATTACCACTGCAACTACTATTAACAGTCACTGGTGCTACTACTACGAGTCTACGACTACGGCTACGACTACGACTACAACTACTACTACTACTACTACTACTACTACTACTATAAGACTACAACCACTAGTACAACTGCTACAGCAACTACAACGACCACCACTTATGCTACTGCTACTGCTACTGATAAGGATATGGATACTGATGGTTGGACAAAGACTGCTACAACTACAACTACTACTTTCTACTACTACTAGCACTAGTACTGTATCAACTACTACTTTCTACTACTACTAGCACTAGTACTGTATCAACTACTACTAGTATCTCATGTGACTCAAGAAAGAACTGTCTCGAGAATGTATCCTCCCTTTTTTTTTGCTAAGTTGGACCTCGCCCCTGGGCATTATCGTTTTGGTCCACTAAGTTGGGGTCTGTTCCTTTTTTTTTTTTTTTTTTTCATTGTGGAACTGACCAGCCACAGTTAATTCAGAATGTTTGGTTTCATTCACATCTAATTCCATCTGGATTCGAACTTAGGTCTGCATTTTAGTAGTTCATGGGTGTAGCAACTGAGCTAGGCCAGTTGGTAGTGTTCCTTTTCTTTCTCTTGTTTTGTTCGGTTTATTCTCCAGTACTCCCTTCTTCACCCGAAACGAATGCCATCATCACTGTCTTCGTCTGTCTGACGTCTGCTGGTCTGTTTGTTAGTGCACAAACCTCACTGCCTTGCTCTGTCGTTATCTCTCCGGCTCTGTGTCTGTGTCTCTGTGTTTGCCGGTCTGTCTCGGTATCTGCCTGTCTCTATCTGTCTGTTATTCTGTCTTTGTCTGTGTGATGTATGTCGGTCTATTGGTCAGTGCACAGATCTCACTTTCTTGCTCTGTCACTCTTTCTCTCTATGGCTTTATTGTGTCTGGGTCTCTCTGTGTTTGTCTGTTTTCTGTGTATGTGCCTGTCTGGCTGTCTCTTTCTGTCTGTTACTCTGTCTGACGTCTGTCTGACGTCTGTCTGACATCTGTCGGTCTGTTCGTCAGTTCAGAAATCTCACTGTCGTGCCGTGTCTTTATCTCATCGGCTCTGTGTTTGTCAGTTTGTCTCTGTCTCTTCCTGTTTGCCTGTCTGAGGCTTTCTCCATCTGTCTCTTTCTCTGTTTGTTATTTTGTCTTTGTCCCTCTGGCATCTATCAGTCTGCTCGTGTGGCATACTCAGTTCCACACGGGCCCTACCGGGTCTGACCAGGTAAGTCTAGGGGTGGCTAGGGGGGTACTTGTGGCCAGACTTAGGCCGTAGGTCCTGGCGCGTTGGTTCGTTAAAGAGCCAGGACCTACGACATGCCTCTTGATTTATACTTTGGTTCGTTTAAGGCTAGGGGGTACTTATGGCCAGACTTAGACCGAGTAGCCGTAGGTCCTGGCGCTGCCTCTTGATTTATACTTTGGTTGGCCGCTGGTCTGCTCCTTTCCTTCAGCATGAACGCAAACAGATTTTAACTTCTCTCGAATGGCTATGGCGCAGTGCGACAGACAAAGATTCCCAATCCGACCAACTGTATCATCCAGCAACTTATTCACACACATACACTCACACCTGGATCACCCTGGATGTCCCTCACACACACGCACTCTGACACAGTTACACACTCATTAACCTATCCTACGTGGCAGCTATGGCTGCCTTCTACTTCCTACACTAACTCGTGGCTAACCAGATTTGCCAAGTATAGAAAATGGAATTTAGTAAATGATATATGGGAAACGGGCCCAGCGTCGCTTATATCATTTGATCGGCATGTTGACCAAAGCCCGACCAGACTACGTTTATGTCATCACCCAGAAATCCGGTGCCTGGGCAATAGGTCTCACTTTTTATCATGTTTACTTGTAGTGCAGCTGCTCGGTTTCAAACCCAGGCAAGCCAATAGGTTCTAGGCATTGACTGACTGTTGGTACAGAGGGTATGAAACTTCAGTTTTCCAACTCTGGTGAGCAACACGTGAACGTTTTTCCAACAGACAAGCACCTACAAATGGACCATTCCATATAGATCATGACATAACTTTTTTTTTTTTTTTTTTTTTTGAAAAAACGATCCCTCCAGTGCTAGCAATGCTGATGACAGTAGACACGGCTAGCACCTGGGGATAGGCTCCATCTATTGGTGGGGAGCATCACCTGCTGGAAAACGGGTCCAGCGTCCCTTATGAATATGATACATTGTCAATTGGAATACATCAAAACACATCAGAAAAAACGTAGGGAGATCGTGACATAACTTAATTATTTTGTTTTCTTACTACTGTTTTCCCCAAGGAGAAGGAACATTCGCGGTGGCAGTGCAATGAACCCAGACAGATGAGAAGCTCAGGAATGTCGCAATGACAGTCTGACAGCGCACCAATAATATGTCCAAAAATCGTTTGTGTCCATGCCCAAAGTACATGCAGTCTCCCAATGTCTCGAACCTCAGAGAAGTAGTGAGACAGGAGGGAGAAGAGACATAGAGGAGGAGGAGGAGAGTTCCCACAAGAAACAATGAAGCAATAGCCCCTCCTGAAGACCACTTCCTCCTCAGGCATTCCCTCTCTCGCCAACTCAGCAATGCAGTTCTCCTCTCACGATCTCTGACATTCACAATGAGCAGGTTACAACAGGGCGCCCATCCTCCATCCACGTCGGCAGCAGAAAGGGAGTATGGCGCAGATCTTCATCACTTGGTTGAAGACGGGCTTTATATCCCACAATACATCAAGGTAAGTCCAGGTAAGCTTCCCCTCAGCGTTCAACAGGTAAGCTTGCCCACTTCCTCCTCTTTTTTTTTTTTTTGCAGAGAAAGGCCTTAGGCATTCTCCTCCCAACTCCCAAAATTAATGAACCAGGAGAGCAGATTCCCTTTTTTTTTTCTTTTTTCTTTTGGGACCTACCAAAGCTATCTCCTCCCCCTCCCAACTAAATGAACCAGGAGAGCAGACTCCCAGGCTACCAGAGTGGCCCGGGGTAACATGCCCGACCGGGCCAAACAAATAAAAAAAACAAAAATTAAAAAAAACTATTTTCTAAGCTTATTTTTTATTTTGAATTTGATAAATATATATATATATATATATATATATATTTTTTAATTGGGTTCAAGCCCTTCAAATTCACCAAAACAAAACGAGGCCGGGGACCTCACATTTCAACCCGGAAGTATCCTGGCAGCATCAGCCAGTTTAGCTTACGAGTCGAAGCTCACCAAAGGAGTAGGCTAATCTAGGTACAGAATTGACCAAAACCAGGCCGCTGACCTGAAACCACTCCAACAGAAAACAAAAACTGCTGCAAGCCTTAAAAGCCAAACAATCCAAAAGGTAAAAAGACTACAAATTACCCTACTATATTAACTGCTACATACCTGGCGGCCAAGCAATCCAACAATACCGTAATCGAACGAACCACAAGCCAGGAAAAAAGGAAAAATACAAATTCTTACCAACCAATAACCCCAGGCAAGACTACATCCTCTCCTAAACTACACTCAGAACTGCCTAATACGGCAAGTCGGACCAACCGGACCGACAGGAACCCCTCATTGCTCCTATCCCTTACCACCCACTGCCTTCCTCCTGCGGATGTTGGAACCGAGCAAACAGGTTAATAGCCAAACTACCTAAGACCAGAACCAATCCGACAAAGTCAGATTATTTCCCTCCAACTTTGCCAACTTACCTTCAATCCCCCAAGTATCTCCGAACCAGCGTGACAAGCCTTTAGTTCCCTTCCTTCTCCAGTCCGCCTGTATAAGGTGACGGAGGGAGGCTTTGAACCTTGTACATATCTCCTTGTTTGTCATTTCACGTCCCTCAAAAACACGCAGATTCCTTTCCCTCCAAATGACCTCACAGCCCACCGCTCTTACTACCTGAGCAACGTAACCCCAACCCTTGTCCAACTCCAGGTTGTCCGGAATTCCCCCTATCAAAACCCACTCACGGTCCCATGACAAAGCTTTACCCGAGGTACAGGTTGTCCGGAATTCCCCCTATCAAAACCCACTCACGGTCCCATGACAAAGCTTTACCCGAGGTAATCGATGTCCAGTAGTCACTCCACCACTTCCAGATACGATTTGAAGCTGGGCAGTCAAACCAAAGGTGGGGGGTCGTGGGCAGTCAAGCCAAAGGTGGGGGGTCGACTCAAACAGGTCTCAGGCCTTCTTCTCCCGCTCCAGGAGAAGAAGTCTGTGGGCCCTTGCTGCCCAGGGCCAGGGCATATGGCGAAGTTGCCAATGAGAGAGACAGTGGCAGATGCAGAAGTTCGGGGCATTTCATCGTACCCCTGTGTTTTAGGGGTATCTAACGAAATACCCCAAATTTTGAGGGGTATTTGAACAATAATTATTTTCCCTTTTATCAAATGGACAGTAAGCAGCAGCTCCATTACCTAATGCAAATGCTGTCGGCTTTACATAGAGCGCAAAAAATATAAGGTTGTAGAGCGGAAAAAAACCTACAACCCCATATTTTTTATTTATTTTTGGTCTATTATTCAATTTTTTAAAAATCCCCAGGTTTTGCAAGGAGCCAGAGTTGCAAGGCTCCCAAGAATGGAAAAGAGCGGGAACAAACTTGAGCTCCATTTATTTCTTCGTAGGCCGGATTCGGATTCAAACTGCTGAAGTATTCGGCAGCCGAGCATCCTGTTTCGAAAGTGTTTTGCTGGCTTGTGATGGGGTGTGAACCTGCACTCTGTAGAGTGCACCATCTGGTGTGGGTGAGTGACAGTCTGCTTTGATTTTCGTCACAGGTACCTTGAGGGCAGGGTATCAGTTATGGGGGCAGTCGTTGATGCTTAACCATAACCGAGGTTAAGGTGGATTACCACGTAAAGTGTAATCAGTTAGGGGATTCTGCAGACTGTTGAGGGTTAAGGGCCTTCAACACTACCCACAGATATGTAGTTGAAGAAAAAAAGAAGAAAAAACTGAAAAAAAGTGCAATTGAAGAAGAAAGAAGGAAAAATTGAAAAAAAGTACAAATTGCCGAAGAAAGAAAAAAAGAAGAAAAAAACCTATGTTGATCTGTGGGATGTGTTATTTGCTTTGTGGCCTTTCCCCAGCTGTATGCCACAGCAGTGCTCCATTTCTACATTGCCATAATTGCGACGGGAGGGGGGGCACTTCCAGACTCAGCAAACAGTATCAGAGACCTTCTTGCCAAGGTCAGTGTGTGCTGTATGTGTTGTGCCGTCTCTCTCTCTCTCTCTCTCTCTCTCTCTCTCTCTCTCTCTCTCTCTCTCTCTCTCTCTCTCTCTCTCTCTCTCTCTTTGCAGTACCTGTGGGATATGACCTTCCAATAAGAGTGACTTTTGCCTTTGGGATGTGCCTGTTGACCGGGTGCCTGTTGGACTTGACCCCCAAGGGACCCGACTTACCTTTTCTGAAACTGGCCGACTTGGCCCCTCTTGGCCTCAGACAGATCCTTGAGCACAGAAACAGAGCGATCCTCGAGGGTACACTGATCCTTGAGCACAGACGGATCATTGAGTGCAGACTCCTTATTGAGCACAGATAGACTGATCCTTGAGCACAGAGACAGACTGATCCTTTAGCACAGACTGATCCATGCGCACAGATGATCCTTGAACACAGAGATAGACGGATCCTTGAGCACAGAGACAGACTGATCCTTGAGCACAGAGACAGACAGATCCTTGTGCATACACTGATCCTTGAGCACAGATGGATCATTGCGCGCAGAATCCTTCTTGAGCACAGATAGACCGATCCTTGAACACAGACTGATCCTTGAGAACAGCTGATCATTAAGCACAGACTGATCCTTGAGCATAGAGACATTTCAGGGATAGACTTATCCTTGAGCACACAGTCCGCGGTTG